GAGATGGATTCCAGGAGTGGTCAAGCTGCAGACGGGACCTGTGTCATACAGGGTGCAAGATGAAGCAACGGACCAAGAATACCGCCGTCACGGGGACCAGCTCAGACCACACAGCTCACCAGAGCCTCTAGATCTACCACCTGATAACGCGGCTCCACCGACTCCACCAGCAGAACAAGTAGAGGACTTTTCTAGGGCAGAGCCAACGGCACCAGACCAGGCAAATCCACCTGATCCACCTGATCCGGTCCCAGTGCCTTTGAGACGCTCACTGCGGATCAAAAAAACGCCGCAGCGTTATCTAGACTAAGTGTGACATTAAGGAGTTCATAAAGGCTAATTGCTCATATTAGTTATTGCTCTAAGAGGTTAATTGGTAACTTTAGTTCAACAAATGTTTACAGGTGAAAGGTGTTTACAATTGAAATAAGGCATCAAAGTTTAAGTTCATCATGTTAAGATGATATTTATAGTTGTTATTTTTCAGTAATGATGCACTGCTGTACTTATTTGGGGACAATGTACTTAGTGACTCTTAATCTAAAAAGGGAGGTAATGTGATGTCCTAATGGGCTTGCCGTATTTCAAGTGGGTGTACACTGCGCATGCCCTGGTGTGTAGTTGAAGCGAAACGTGTCTGCCTGATGGATGCTACTGTTCCCTAGTAAACGGCGATTCCAAGCAACTCAACTGTCTCATCATTCCCAAATACACCACATAATTGGCGACGAGGTAAAGCGGATTTTGAGCGCGTAAGCAACAGAAAGATGGCGAGCTTCGCAAGACCGGACGAGTTTAAACCTGAAATTGAGCAATGGTCAGCGTATGCAGAGCGCGTGGAACTTTTTTTCGACGCACATGATATTGAAGAGGATAAGAAGGTGCCGACCTTGCTAAGCGCGATTGGTGCTTCGACATACAGCCTTTTGCGGAATTTAGTTCAACCCTGAAGCCAAAGGATAAAACTTTTCCGGAGGTTGTGGCAATCCTTCAAGGATATTATGAACCCAAACCGCTGGTCGTCGCTGAGCGTTTCAGGTTCCGGAAATGTGTTCAGAAGACAAAGGAAACGGTCAGTCAGTTCTCTGCTGAGTTGTGATTTCGGAGACCGTCTGGATGAAGCTCTGCGCGACGGGTTTGTCAGCGGTGTCCGTGCCGAGGCGTGCCAGCGGAAATTGCTCTCCATGGATGGTCTCACTTTTTCTAGGGCCCTCGAAGTCGCGCTCAACATGGAAACAGCCCAGCGGGATGCGCAACAGCTGAGACACAGCGATGATGCATCCGTCTCTGTTCACAAGGTAGAACAAAGGGCTAAGCGTTTAACACACGTGGAATGCCACAGGTGTAAAGGCAAAAACCATAATGCCAGGGACTGTTATTTTAAGAACAGTCCTTGCCATTCATGTGGGAAGCTGGGACATATCCGAAAGGCGTGTAGGGCCAGTGAATCGGTGTATAACAAAAAGGGGGCGCAGAGGCAAAGCAAACGACAAGTCACGAGCTATGTGCATGCAGAAGAGGAAGTGGAAGCCGGAGCAGTGCTTAGCGTAAATGAAAGGGATGGGCAGGCATTCAAAGTAAATTTTGAAGTAAATAAAGAATATCTTCCGATGGAAATAGACACGGGGGCGGCTATCAGCATAATCTCAGAGGCTGTATACAAAAAGACTTTTGCACATGTACCGCTAGAGGGCAGTAATGTCACGCTGAAGACTTACACGGGCCAAGCTATTCCAGTAAAAGGGCAGTTTACTGTCAGAGTTACTTATGGAGATCAATCTGCTGACCTGCCCCTAGTTGTAGTACAAGGGAATGGACCTTCACTTTGTGGCAGGAATTGGCTAAAAAAAATTAAATTGGACTGGAAAACAATCAAAAGGGTCAGTCAAAATGCAAAAATGCCGGCACCTAAAGCACTTTCTGAGGTGCTGGAGCGATATAGTCATGTGTTTCAGGACGAACTTGGAACATTAAAGGACATCAGGGCAGTGATTTCGGTGAAGCCCAATGCAATTCCAAAATTTCATAAGGCCCGCCCCCTGCCGTTTGCGATGAAAGCAAGAGTGGAAAGAGAGCTAGAAAGGCTGGAGAAGGAGAATATCATCTCCCCAATAAAGCACAGTGAGTGGGCTGCTCCAGTAGTGCCTGTGGTTAAACGAGATGGCACAATCCGTTTGTGCGGCGACTACAAAGTAACTGTGAACCAGGCTACTAACGCTGACGTATATCCCCTACCGCGTATAGAAGAGGTGTTGGCAACACTCAGTGGGGGAAAGTTGTTTTCAAAAATAGATTTAGCCTCAGCATACCAGCAAGTGCTACTTGATGAAGATTCAAAGAAATACACAACTATCAATACCCAGAAAGGTTTATTTGTTTACAATCGCCTTTGTTTTGGGGTCAACTCTGCTGTCAGTATATTCCAGAGGATTATGGAAAACTTGATGAAGAACCTCAATGTCGTGGTTTACCTAGATGATCTCCTGGTGATGGGGAAAGATGAGGCCCAGCATCTAAAGAACCTGGACAACGTCTTACGTCGATTACAAAAACATGGACTGAGGGTTAAAAAGTCTAAATGTGAGTTTGGCAAGACCCAGGTTGAATATCTAGGTCATGTGCTGGACGGAAAAGGAGTGTACCCATCTAAGGACAAAGTGAGAGCCATACATGAGGCACCAGCACCTACTGATGTCAAGGAATTACGTGCTTTCCTGGGGCTGGTGAACTACTACGGCCGTTTTGTGCCACGGCAGAGCACTGTGCTCTCACCTCTCTACAGGCTCCTGAAAGAGCAAACCACCTGGAAATGGGGTAAACCTGAACAGGACTCATTCAACAAATGTAAAGAACTTTTGACTAGTGATAAAGTGTTAGTACACTACGACCCAAACTTACCACTCACCCTTGCATGTGATGCGTCTGCTTACGGGATTGGAGCAGTGATTCAACACACAGCTCCTAATGGGGAAGAACGCCCAATAGCTTATGCTTCTCGAACACTGTCTCCCGCAGAAAAAAAATACTCCCAAATAGAGAAGGAAGCACTGAGTCTAGTGTATGGTGTGAAAAAGTTTCACCAGTACCTGTGGGGGCGGCAGTTTAATTTGGTCACAGACCATAGGCCCCTATTGACACTGTTTGGGGAAAATAAGGGACTTCCGACAATGGCAGCAGCACGGATACAGAGATGGGCTATCATATTGTCTGCATATGACTACCATATAGTCTACCAGCAGTCAGGCAAACATGGAAATGCCGACGGGTTGTCACGGGTCCCTTTGTCAGAGACCACAGATGCAGGAACCGAGACAATGTCAGCTTACATCGATGCGCTAATTTGTGAACATCTAGAGGGGGTACCACTGACCGCTAAACAGATTGCTAGAGCAACAAGAAAAGACAAAGAACTTTCAAGATTGTACAGGTACATCATGGAAGGATGGCCAAGGGAAATTCCTGATGAGATGAAAGTGTATCACAGAAAGAGAGATGAACTGTCAGTGGAGCAAGGTTGTGTCCTATGGGGCACTAGAGTGGTCACACCTATGCGACTTAGAACAGCAGTACTTAGAGAGATCCATGGTGGGCACCCCGGCATAGTAAGAATGAAGTCCAATGCTAGACAATATGTTTGGTGGCCTAGCATTGATTCGCACATTGAAAAAGTCTGCAAAGAATGTGAAACGTGCCAGCTTGAACAACACATGCCACGCTCAGCTCCGCTACACCCCTGGGAGTTCCCAGGGGATGTCTGGAAAAGGCTTCATATTGATTTTGCAGGACCGTTCTTGGGCGGCATGTTTATGGTGGTGGTTGATGCGTTCTCAAAGTGGTTGGAGGTGTACAGAATGGCACACGCGACTTCCACAGCCACCATCACAAGATTAAAGAGATTATTTGCAGCGTATGGAGTACCAGAGCAAATTGTCACAGACAATGCTACAACTTTTATGTCGGATGAATTTCAGCAGTTCGTAAGGAGGAATGGAATCCTGCACACAACAGGTGCTCCGAGGCACCCAGCCAGAAATGGCTTAGCAGAAAGGTATGTCTCCACCTTTAAAACCGGAATGAAGAAGCTCATGAGAGAGGACCTCAGCATGGAAGACAAGATTTCCCACTTTTTGCTGTGGTATCGCACGACCCCTAACAGCACGACTGGTGAGTCACCTGCTGATTTGTTCTTAAAGAGGCATGTTAGAACCAGACTGGACTTTTTAAAACCAAGCATTGGAGAGACAGTGAGGAGAAAGCAGTACCGGCAAAAGGAAGAACATGACCGGCATGCCACTGAGTGACAGTTTGGCGTGGCCGACAAAGTATATCTGCGTAATACTGCTGGGGGGACGCCGAGATGGATTCCAGGAGTGGTCAAGCTGCAGACGGGACCTGTGTCATACAGGGTGCAAGATGAAGCAACGGACCAAGAATACCGCCGTCACGGGGACCAGCTCAGACCACGCAGCTCACCAGAGCCTCTAGATCTACCACCTGATAACGCGGCTCCACCGACTCCACCAGCAGAACAAGTAGAGGACTTTTCTAGGGCAGAGCCAACGGCACCAGACCAGGCAAATCCACCTGATCCACCTGATCCGGTCCCAGTGCCTTTGAGACGCTCACTGCGGATCAAAAAAACGCCGCAGCGTTATCTAGACTAAGTGTGACATTAAGGAGTTCATAAAGGCTAATTGCTCATATTAGTTATTGCTCTAAGAGGTTAATTGGTAACTTTAGTTCAACAAATGTTTACAGGTGAAAGGTGTTTACAATTGAAATAAGGCATCAAAGTTTAAGTTCATCATGTTAAGATGATATTTATAGTTGTTATTTTTCAGTAATGATGCACTGCTGTACTTATTTGGGGACAATGTACTTAGTGACTCTTAATCTAAAAAGGGAGGTAATGTGATGTCCTAATGGGTGTACACTGCGCATGCCCTGGTGTGTAGTTGAAGCGAAACGTGTCTGCCTGATGGATGCTACTGTTCCCTAGTAAACGGCGATTCCAAGCAACTCGACTGTCTCATCATTCCCAAATACATCACAGCAATTAACTTTGATTTAGAAAGTTGAAATCGTCCCGAAAAAGAAAGTTAGAAAGTTTTAGTGCAACTTACAATATTCACAGAGGCAAGAAGATAGTGCATGTTGAGGATAGTTCATGTACATTTGTTGTCTCCTGGTATTTGTTGTCTTTGTTGTGCTGTTAGTCTGTGTGAATTACTAGATTTTTAACCAGTGTATAATTTTTCAGATGCTTTGTGGGTATAAACCCAGAAAAAGGAACAAAGGCTGCAAAGGGGAAGAAAAGAAGAACCGTCAATTCACACGTCGCCAGCCTCTTGCGCAAGCTCATGGACTTTCAGTGGGATTTCATTTGAAAATGGTGAGTAAGATGTATACATTACACACATCTTCAAACAGCAATGACTCAGGAGGCTGGGGAAATTCATTCTAATGTTCATTCTCAACTGCCTTTCAAAGTTAGAATGCTGAACTCCTCTTTCATGCTCTTTTGCCATTCTTTTTTTGTTCTTTTATTCTCTTGAATTGTACTCATCACACTTTCTATTATTTTATGTTATTCTGTCTGTTTTGTGTTCTGTTTCTAAAATTAGCTTTTGTTAGGTCAAGTCATGTGATATAATTTTGAATTAAAAATTTGAAATTATGGAACTCATCTCTCTCTCGCTCTCTCTCTCATACTGTATACAGACCCCCAAGACTTTGCAAAGGATCCTCATTGTGTGCTTTGAGAAAATGGTTAGTGTTCTAAGCAGTAACAGTGTTTTTATTGTTTATTGCTCTTTATTGATGTAGAGTTCCATTAAGTGTTAAATATTGGTTTGAATGTATTCACACATGTTGAATTTTAGTGGTTTAGGTAACACTAAGTGTTGAGGTTCAGTATTTTGTTATAATGAACAATGTATTTGGGTTTAAAAATGTATTTGCTACTTGTTAAGCCATGAACATAAGAAAATGAGATTTGTTTGTGATTAATCTGAGCCTATGTGTAACATTTTTATGTGACCAGGAGTCACAGTGTATATCCTTGGTTTGAGTCTTTTTAGCTGAATTTTAGCAGCAGTTCAGGGAACATTAAATGTTGAGGTTTAGGGCCCTATCTTGCACCGACGCAGCGCAGAGCCAAACGCAAGTGTCTTTGCTAGTTTAAGACAGACACAGTTGTTATTTTCCGTCCAGCGACCACAGATGTCAGCAATGAACATGATATCTGTGATTGGTCTGATCCATGTGTGCCTACATTTGTATGTATTTACCTTTCAGTGTTTGTATTACAATAAAAAAAAGTTAATTTCAACACGGAACTATTTGTTTTCTTTCACTTAAGTGTTATCTGATGGATTATGCCTATTCTTGTATTAACTCAAGCTAGAATATGTCTATAACAATCAGTGGTACACGTTACTATGCTAAACATAATTAATGGAAACAAAATAAATGGTGATTTAACAGGAAAATAATGGTAACACTGCTGCCAGTTATTTCCTGTTTTATTCTTTGATTCACAGTAAATTCCTGTTGAAAAAATTACGGGGAGTGCACTGTAAAAAAACATTAACAGTAATTAACTGTTAAAATAACAGGAAAATAATGGTAACCCTGCTGCCAGTAATTTCCTGTTATTTAACAGGGAAATAATTAACAGTGCAGTGTTGGACAGTTGTTTCCACTTCCTGGAAAAAGTTTCAAACTAACCTATCATTTAGAAACAACAGACTTTGCTCAGTTTTCTTTAGCTTGTACTGCAAATGTACCTTCTTTTTGAATTTTATTTTTGACCTTTCTTAACTAATTTTATAATATTTATAGCAGCATTAACCTGAACTAGCAATAACAAAAATATAACAATGATAAAATAATAATAATAACGACAATACTAATAGTAATAACAACAATAATAATAAATACATATTATTATTATTATTATATATAGTAATAACATAATAATAATGTTTGATGGATGATAATAATCAAAATACTGTTGTCAGTTTTGAAGGGAGGTCACTCATTGTTCACAATTTGAAATGCCAAAAAATCTATTAAAAATAATAAAAATACACTGCGAAGAACAATTAAAATCCTTAATATTCCAGATAATCTGTCATGTACTATATAATTCCTGATGTTTACAAAGCTGTTTTGTAGTCCTTTGATTCTTTCTCACACTGTAAATGACTACACAGCTTCAGAGACAAGATAATCTAGGATGACATTTCCCTGTGGGAATTGCAGATATGTCTTCGAGCCAATATAATCTGAAACACTGTGGCATTTAATGGCAGATGTTAATGGTGAGCGAGCAAGAAGATACCTCGGTGATAAAAACCACACACACACACACAAGCAGACCACACAGATCAAATTTTTGTAAGGACCACTCATTCATTTCTATCAGAAAAATGTTAATGCTAACTGTGACAACATTAACCCCTTCCCAACCCTAACCATAACCATAAGTAACCAAGCAGAATACAAGAGTTTTTACATTTTTAGTTTTTTCATGGATTTTTAGAAAATTATGGGGACCAGGAAATTGATCCCCATCAATTAATATAACTTAAATTAATGAAGTCTTAAGTTAAATTAATACCAACAGAACTGGAAAAAATAGAAAATTATACCATATCCTTCATTGAGTTCCATTTAATCCCATGAGAACTGCTCGATTTATTAAACACACAGTTTCAATCAAGAATAATTAATTAACAATTAGCTGGCAGAAAAGCCAGCTTACACCCTGCATCACCAGCACCATGACTGGCAAACCCTGATCCAGACAGCAGGTACATCTAATCACATTCCAATAATACAGAAAGACACCTTTTATTTTTGCATGTAAATTCTAATATATTAAAGTGAGGAACCTAAGGATTGATTTCTTTCATATTGCACCTTGGACCCTCTCCTGGAGCCGACACCTTATCATGGTGCAGTGGTTTGCGTGTTCCAATGATCCCAGGAGCTAAGTTGCCTGGGGCTTTATGCCCCTGGTAGGGTCACCCAAGGCAAACATGTCCTGGGTGAGGAACTAGACGAAGTGCGGCTCACAAGACCCCAAATGATGAACAAAATATTGGATCCACGATTTCCCTTGCCTGGACGTGGGTCACCGCCCGCCAGGCCTGGGGGTGGGGCTCGATGGCGAGTGCCTGGTGGCCAGGCCTGCACCCATGGGGCCTGGTTGGGCACAATCCGAACAAGGCACGTGGGTCTCCCCTCCAATGGGCTCACCACCTGTAGGAGGGGCCATAGGGGTTGGGTGCAGTGTGAGTTGGGCAGTGGCCGAAGACGGGGACCTTGGCGGTTCGATCCTCGGCTGCAGAAGCTAGCTCTAGGGACATGGAATGTCACCTCTCTGGTGGGGAAGGAGCCTGAGCTGGTGCGCAAGGCTGTGGTGCGCAAGGCTGCTATCCAACTAGATATAGTCGGGCTCACCTCGACGCACGGCTTGGGCTCTGGAACCAATCTCCTCGAAGGGGGTTAGACCCTCTTCCACTCACATCCCCGTGAGTTGCTCACGGGGAGAGGCGCCGAGCTGGGTTGGGCATACTTATTGCCCCCTCGCTGGGCGCTTGTACATTGGGGTTTACCGCGGTGGACAAGAGGGTAGCCTCCCTTCACCTTCGAGTGGGGGAATGGGTTGTTTGTGCTTATGCGCCAAACGGCAGTTCAGAATACCCACCCTTTTTGGAGTCCTTGGAAGGGGTGTTGGGGGATTCTCTTGTTCTGCTGGGGGATTTCAATGCTCACGTGGGCAATGACAGTGAGACCTGGAGAGGCGTGTTTGGGAGGAACGCCCCCCCCGATCTGAACCCAATAATGTTGGACTTCTGTGCTTGTCACGGATTGTCCATAATGAACACCATGTTCAAGCATAAGGGTGTCCATATGTGCACTTGGCACCAGGACACCCTACGTCACAGTTCGATGATCGACTTTGTGGTCGTGTCATCGTACTTGCGGCCGCATGTATTGGACACTCGGGTGAGGAGAGGGGCGGAGCTGTCAACCGACCACTACCTGGTGGTGGGTTGGCTCTGCTGATGGAGGAGGAAGCTGGTCAGACTTGGCAGACCCAAGCGTATAGTGCAGGTCTGCTGGGAACGTCTGGCGGAATCCCCTGTCAGAGGGAGTTTCAACTCCTACCTCTGGCAGAACTTCGCCCATGTCCCGTGGGAGGCGGGGGACAATGAGTCCGAATGAGCCATGTTCAGCACCTCCATTGTGGAGCTATGGCCGTAAGGTGGTCGGTGCTTGTTGTGGCGACAATCCCCGAACCCGCTGGTGAGGGATGCCATCAAGCTGAAGAAGGAGTCCTATCGGGCCTTTTTGGCCTGTGGGACTCCGGAAGCAGCTGATGAGTACCGGCAGGCCAAACGGAATGCGGCTTTGGTGGTCGCTGAGGCAAAAACTCGGGTATGGGAGGAGTTCGGTGAGGCCATGGAGAACGACTTCCGGATGGCTTCGAGGAGATTCTGGTCCACCATCCGGGAAAGCGGTGCAGCATCAACACTGTTTATGGTGGGGATGGTGCGCTGCTGACCTCAGCTCGGGACGTAGTGGGTCGGTGGAAGGAATACTTCGAAGACCTCCTCAATCCCACTGACATGCCTTGCAATGAGGGAGCAGAGTCTGGGGACTTGGGGGTGGACTCGCCTATCTCTGGGGCAGAGGTTGCTGAGGTGGTTAAAAAGCTCCTCGGTGGCCAGGCCCCGGGGGTGGATGAGATCCGCCTGGAGTTCCTCAAGGCTCTGGATGTTGCAGGGCTGTCTTGGTTGACACGCATCTGCGGCATCGTGTGGACATCGGGGGCGGTGCCTCCGGATTGGCAGACCAGGGTGGTGGTTCCCATCTTCAAGAAGGGGGACCGGAGAGTGTGTTCCAACTATAGGGGGATCACACTCCTCAGCCTCCCTGGTAAGGTCTATTCGGGGGTGCTGGAGAGGAGGGTCCATCGGATAGTCGAACCTCGGATTCAGGAGGAGTAGTGTGGTTTTCGCCCTGGCCGTGAAACAGTGGACCAGCTCTATACTCTCGGCAGGGTCCTGGAGGGTGCGTGGGAGTTTGCCCAACCAGTCTACATGTGCTTTGTGGACTTGGAGAAGGCATTCGACCGCGTCCCGTGGGGAGTGCTCCGGGAGTATGGGGTGCCGGGCTGCCTTATAAGGGCTGTTTGGTCCCTGTACGACTGGTGTCAGAGCTTGGTCTGCATTGCCGGCAGTAAGTCTGACTCGTTCCCGGTGAGGGTTGGACTCCGCCAGGGCATTGAGGGTGTCCGGTTTGGTGACCTCAGGATTAGGTCTCTGCTTTTTGCAGATGATGTGGTTCTGTTGGCCTCATCAGACCATGACCTTCGGCTGTCACTGGAACAGTTCGCAGCCGAGTGTGAAGCAACTGGAATGAAAATCACCACCTCCATATCTGAGACCATGGTCCTCAGCCGGAAAAGGGTGGAGTGCTCTCTTCGGGTCGGGGAGGAGGTCCTTCCCCAAGTGGAGGAGTTTAAGTATCTCGGGATCTTGTTCACAAGTGAGGGAAGGATGGAGCGGGAGATCGACAGGCAGATTGGTGCGGCGTCAGCAGTGATGCGGGCGCTGCATCGGTCTGTCATGGTGAAGAAGGAGCTGAGCCAAAAGGCAAAGCTCTCGATTTACCAGTCGATCTACGTTCCTACCCTCACTTATGGTTATGAGCTGTGGGTAGTGACCCGAAAGAACGATATCACGAGTGCAAGCGGCCGAAATAAGTCTTCTCCGCAGGGTGGCTGGGCTCTCCCTTAGATATAGGGTGAGGAGCTCGGTCATTCGGGAGGGACTCAGAGTAGAGCCGCTGCTCCTCCGCATTGAGAGGAGCCAGATGAGGTGTGTGATGGTCTGCTGGCCTTGCCTGCGGTTGTTTTGTTTTGTGTTTTGTAGGTGCGGCCGCAGC